TTTATGTAGTGTAATATTTTTATTTGTTTGAAGCTATAGCTGAAGGACATATATGATTAGACATGCTTTTATGCATGTATATGCATGCAATGTTTGTTCTCTCACGTGATATACTAAATAAGTATTATATTATAGTTAATCAAATATCAAACTTCAGATGCTTCAACAATTTCGTTACCTAGTAATAAAGTTAAATAATATTTATATATAATTATTTTTTGTAAATATATATAAATGTATGGTTTATTTATAACTTATTTATTAAATTAAAATATATAATATTAGCAATTATTTAAACTTTTGATATTACTAAAATTTAATTAATCTAAAATATTTAAAATATAATTATTAAGATGATTTTAAAAATGTAAATAATATAAATATTTTGAAATTTAAGATTAAATAGTTTAAGAAATTAATTTAAATTATCTAGTATAAATTACTGAAAGATAATATTAAGTCAAATAAAATATATCAGTTTTTAATTACAAAAATGTGAAAAAATAAGTATAGTAAACCTAAAAGAATTTTAATTAAGAAGTTCTATTTGATTAAATATCAAATTTTTATAGATAAATTTTAATTGCTTTAAAATAATACTATTAATTTAATTTAAATTTATTTTATTTTATTTACTGTAAAAATATATTTTTATAATTTTTTACTTTTAAATTTATAAAAAAATTTATATAAAATAATAAATAGATAGAAAACATGTTAAATTTAAAAATTAAAGTAATCAAAAGTAAAAAATAAAGTAATTCAAGTAAATAAGAAAAAAATAAATTACAAATAAATAATATTCAATTAACCTAATTAAACACTTTTTTAAAATTTAAAATTTTAAATTTTAATAATTTTAATTATAATAATCAAATATCAATAAAGTTAATATTTAATTAATTATTAATTATTTAATTTAAATTAACTAATTGATTGCTATTTTTATATTTGATATCTTAATTATTAATTAATTTTGAATAAAAATTTAATTAATTATTTTTTAATGTAGTTTGATATTTGTTTGCTATTATTTTATAAAAATAATATCTAAGTTATATAATATTAAAATATCAATTTATAACCCAAAAAAATATTTAAATAATGTCCAGTTTTTTAAAAATAAAAAGGAAATACGTAAAATAATATATTATTAATTATATTATTAATTTTTATTTTTTGATTATATGGGTAGATTGCTAGAAAAATCAGGTTTTGGGAATTTTTTAGCAAAATTGAGATTTTTATTGCATTTTAGTTTTTGATGTAATTAGATTAAAATGTATTAAACTCTTAATTTTAGTCAAAAATTTCTCAAAACCTGATTTTCTAGAAACACTCCCATATAATTTATATATCAATACAATAAATTATATATTTTTAATTTAATATATTTATCAAAGATTTTAAAATTTAAAAACAAATATAATATATGTACATATGCAAATTTATTATTATAAAAAAATCATTTTTATAGAATTATATTAATAATTGAAACTTTAATATAATAATATAAAAAAATATATTTATTTTATTGTATTATATAACTTATAAAATAATATTTAATATATCTGATTTTAATTAAAAAAAAGTTTTATCAAATAAAAAGAATAATACCTGCATTTTAAAGTTTTATTTAACTTGAATAATATAAAAATATAATTCTAAGAAGAATGCATTTAGAGAAATCTGATTATAATTATAAATAATTATAATTAAATATAATGAATTAGTTAATAAATCTGTATATTTGATATATATAATAAAAATATCTATTACTAAAAATGTATAATATTTAAATGTTACACAGTTTGTTTCACATTAAACATACCAAGTTCGAGCTTTTATATCCAAGTTAAGAATGTCAAACTCGGCAACACCAACAAATTCAACAAGTGAAAATAATACTCCTCAACAAACAACTCCTCATCGTAGTCCTCTTAGTAACCAAAGCCACCACAGTAGTTTACCAAGTAGCCCACGCCAACAAAGCTCGTATCACGGAAATGAAGTTAACAAATTTGAATCAGAACAAAATTCGCCCCTTTCAGAACTTGTAGACACCGATTCAGCCAGTGACAATGAAATAGTTCGCCGTAAACGTGTAAAACGTCATGGCGTAGAATCACCTGTTCATGATAGTTCTCGTACTAGATCTTTAAGAAGTTCGTCAACTACACCAACTGCACTATCACCTAAAAATCAAGGCACAATTTCCGAGCTTTTTTTAGAGAAGCACTTGACCAAAAAAAGTCCATGGGAAATTACCGACGAAGATACAAAAAAGGATAACTCCGATAACGAAGATATAGATTTATTTGGAGGTGTAGTTAGTGACGAAGATGAGCAATTCGAACAGTAAAGCATCTTTGATTTAATTATTTATTAATGTTAGCATTTCCATATTTATTGTTAACTTCTTTCTAAACTAAGCTTGCATAAAGACACACCGATATCAGATGATGAAGGATATACACGGCCTAGATCTTTTAATACTGGAAATTATGAGTTAGTCTACGCAAAACCTCCGGGGAGCTGTGATGGAAAGGTATAAACTTTCAACTTTTTTCTCAAATAAATACTTTAAATTATCAAACCATGTATAAATTGTATACTTGTATAAACATTTAGTATTATATAGCAAAATTGCCAAATTTTTTTACTTACTGCACCCAAGCATATGCACCTGAAAGCTATACGGAAGAAGATGATTACAAGCATGGAAATACAATTAGATTAGGTGCAGAAAACACGATAAGATGGCGATATAAAAGGAACGAAATGGGCGAAGAGGTAAAGTTATAATTTAATTTTATATTTCATTTAAATTTTATTTCATAATTTAATTGGTTGGATCTTCTTTTAGACTGAAGTAAAAGAATCAAACACCAAAATGATAAAATGGTCGGATGGATCAATGTCACTGCTCATTGGAGAAGAGATGTTTCTAATTAATTCTCACGATATATCAAAGCAGCATACGTTTCTTGGAGTCACAAATGTCCACAGTAATTCGATTGAAAATCATGCAAGGTTGACAAATCAGGTTACTTTCCGTCCTGATCCCAACAGCCGAACACACAAAAGATTGAGCGCTGCCATTCAGGCTAGAAATGTTAAACAAGTCAAGACTAAATTTGTTGATATAAATGATCCGAAATTAATTGAATTACAACTTCAAGTATATACTTTTATTATTATTTTGATTTTATATTCATTATCGCGTCTTTTTTTTTTTTTTTTACTATATTTATTATCCATTTCAGAGTGAAAGAGAAAAAAAACCACGCACCGAAAAACGTTTAACTTCAGCCTCAAAATCAAGGTCTCGTAAAAGCTATGACGAATATTCAGATCCAGACGAACCAAGCTACATGTCATATAGAAGGAATGATTCATACGAGGATGATACTGGTTTTGTGGTTGCGGATGAGAATGATTCCGATGACGAATATAACCGCCCAGAAAAAAGGCGCAAAGGAAAAGAACGAGCTACCGAAAGTCGTAGAAAAAGAGACTTAACTCCTGTTGAGAGTTCGTCAAGGTTACGAAAACGTCATCATGAAGAGAGCAAAGAAGAAAACTTGGATGAATATGAAGATAATGGCCAAGACGAACACCTTGAAGAGGTGGATGGTGACATAACACCTGAAATGCTCCCAAAGCGCGTAAAAGACGATGTTGAAGAACCCGATGCCGATATTGATATGGACGAAAGTCTTTTACATGATCACGACGAAGAGGAAGAAGAAGATATGCCTGTTGTTAAGAAGGGAAGAAGAAGCAATAGGATGATTATGGAGGATGACTAAAATTATTATTATTATTACTATTATTATTTTAAGATTCTACTTCAACTAGAGCTTCGAAAATACTCGAACAAAATTTACAAAATTTATCGCACGTGTTTCATAAAACTTTCATTTCCATACTTAAACAATATAAAAATTCGATCGCATCTTTAAATTTTTGTGAACGGAACATTTATGTAATAAGCACCAAATAAAACGATGATTTGTTAAAGCATAAAATCGTAATTAATTGTAGTATATCCTGTATATATTTATGTATAGACATATATATGGAATTAAGTTTATTTCTCATAGTTGTAATTTTAGTCTTTCATTAGAATTTAAAAAATATAATAGGGAAGTTTCCATGCATTAAACGTGAATTTCATCAAAAAAAAAAAAAAAAAATTATTTTTTTAGATTATCATAGGAATCATTGATCTAATTTATGATATCAGAATTTTATATTACTGACCGAAATAAATAAAAACGTATCTTCTGGGATTTTCAAGCAAAAAAAATTTTTTTTTTTTTTTTCACGGGTTTCTATTCGTTCACTAATCCTTCGCGTTTAATCCGATTAGAATCTTAAAACCTAAAAAAAAAAAAAAAAAAAAAAAATGTTCCAAGCAAAAATAAAATCGGTATTGGCCGATAATTGTTGGACTGATTTGGTTATACGGCTAATCGAAGAAAGATTTTGGAAGTTATAGCTACCGATCGTGCTGCAATAACCAAACGTGTTGATAAAATCTTAATTTGGACACGACCTTTAAAGGAACTAAGTTTATGCATAAATCTCGAAATAAAATGTTCAATTATGTACACGTTAATATTTTATCAATCTTTTCACGTCTGTAAAAATTGAAAAATCAAGCGACCGCTCCGTTAAAATAACTTCTCGAAACATTTTTGTAGGAAATTTAATTTTTTTACCACATAAACGCTTAATCATTTTATTAGTTTATTATATTAACTTTTTTTTTTTTTATATATATATTTATATTTATGTACATTTTATTTTCTTATTTTTCATAATATTATTATTTTTTGCCTAAAAAATTAATCTACATAAGTTCCATAAGCTTAATTGGTATTGTTTTGACTTAATTAAATATGAGAGAATTGGGATGGAAATTGTAAAATTTATAGTAATTAATTATCAGTTATCTGTGGTTGGAAAAAAAAATCATTCAAGAAACATTTTCGTTAATAACTTTCATTTGCGCGACCAATACTTTCACCGATTACAACGTGTTCATCACCAACGCCTTTCGAAAACATTGGTATTGATATTGTTGAATTTTGAAATTGTCGACTGTGAATATCATTAATCAACACTTCGCATTCCTGCACGGAGCATAATTGCATATGATAACTTCGTAATGCCTTTTCATACCAATACAGGGCCTTTTCAAGATCTACCTGACATCCGATTCCAAAGTGATAAAATCTTCCAAGGAGAACTTTAATAGGTCCAGGACATGATGGAAAATCCTCACAAACGGTTCGAACTAAATTAAATGCCAGAACGTAATTCTGGACGGAACAAACGTCTTTAAGAAGATATAAAGCGTACTGTAATTTCCCACCCCAGTAGATATCGCTCTCGCTAGAACGTCGAAACCATTCAAGCGCTTCGATTTCATTTTTTAAGGTACCAATTCCGGCCGATTTACAGTTACCTAAGAGCTTCATGCCTTGTGGGTCACCTAATTGGGCCATGCGATAATATAAATCACAAGCGCGGTCATGATCAGCTGTTGTACCGATACCATATCGAAGACAATAAGCGAGGTTAAACATTGCGTCGATATGTCTAATCAGTTATAAAAATAAAAGAATGATTAATTATCATTTTTTTTTTTTTTTAATTATGATCTATTGAATCTAATGAAAGAAATATACCCCATGAAAACGGCACGTTCGTAATATTGAATGGCACGTGACGCATCGGCTTCGACACCAATGCCCATTTGAAAACAGATGCCTAGTTGACACAAAGTTGCCGCATTTGGGGGATCGACATCCACAATTTCCAAATATTTCTCCACCGCCGCCTTTTCATCTCTAAAAAAAAAAAAAAAAATTCGAAACGAGAAATAATTAGTTAGGTATTTGAATTGGGAACTAGTAATAATAAATAATAATTAAAATTAAAAATTAATGATAAAGGATTTTAAAATTCTTACTTAACCACACCAATACCATGTTGTAAACAATACGCTAATTGATGTTTGCCGCGTTTCGAACCTAAATTTGCGGCACTTGCGAAATGTGTAAAAGCGAGAATTGCATTACGAGGCTTCTCAACGTGAAGGTAGTGATATCCTTGCTCATATAACATTTCCGCTTGTTGAGATAATGTGACGAACGTTGCAGGATTAAATGAAGGATTAATATTGATTGCGGTTGATGTTGTCGTTATAGGGAATCCTTCGGACAAGTATTTTTCATTATGAGGGGTGGTTGGCGTAGGAGGGTATGGTATTTCAGGAAGATTAAAATTTTTCTCAAAATAATTTGATGGAGAACCGTGAAATTTTTGAGCTGATTTGTCAAATAATAATATTAAATAAAGATGATAAATTTTTGTGTTATTTATGCTCTGAATTGTTGTTGTACTTTGATGGAAAAAAAAAAAAAGAAAAGATTATTGTGAAACTATACCTTCAACCATGTTGAGTTCATCATGACTATAACACTGGTAAATCAAAATACAAGAATTCAATAAATTACGCCATACAAATAAACTTTGACCACATTTTTTTCATCCGACCTTATCTTAGATTAGCAATAACAAATAAACAATTACCTCGGGTTTAAACTCGTTCTGAGGGCATATTGAAATTTCATGTTTTATGAAATTTCCTGGATTAATTCCGAAGTTTGTAGGTGAAGGGATTTGTGTTGTATAAAGCATGGACGTGGCGCCTTCCTGCTGTTGAGGTGTGTAATGGTTAAGTTCTTTCGCTCCGTATTCTGGGCTAGGTAACATGACATTCTCGGTATCATATACCGAGGATGGATTAGTAGAAATTATGGTTTGGTAATGACCGGATGAGATGTTTCCTTGCGAGAACACAGGACCGTATATGGGATTCACATAACAATGGTTATCCATGATTAGATCAAGAAGTAATAAATTTAATAAAAGAGGGAAAAAATTGAGTCGTGTAGTATAGAAAAAAAAAAAGCGTGTATTATCGCTTGAAAAGTCGTAAAAATGAGAAGATTAAAGGAATTTGAATAAAAAATAAATGAGCCAAAAAAAGATTAAAGTATTTAATACAATATTTTTGGTTGATTTTATAATGAAAAAAAAAAAATTTTATTATATTTATTATTTGGTTATTATTTATATTTTTTTTTTTTTTTTTTTTTTTTTGCTAATTGAATATTTTTTTTTTTTTTTGTTGTTTCACTATTATTCTTATTACGAGATTGATTGTACTGTATAATCGTGTATAAAAAAAAGAGAGGCATAAAAAATATAAAAATCTATAATGACAACAAAACATGATAATGTGATTGTCTGTGAGCCGTACAAACATTAATAAGTCGCATGTTACCGAAGGATTAATGTTCTAGCAAAATTCTCTTTGAAAAAGAAGACATGAAAATTTTCATTTAAAAAAATATATTAAGAACGATAAAACGATGTGTATATTCAATGTTTACTTAAAATATCATATCTCGTGGCACATTTACCGACGTTACAATAGGTCATGTATTGATAAAGATGATACATTTTTTGATATTCTATTTTAAAAAGAATTATTTCATTCGAATTATAAAAAAAAAAAATAATAAAAAAAAAGGTTCGAATATTGTATGGCTAATAAAAAATGTTTATTAATTGTAAACATATTTATAAAACTTTTTTTTTTGTGTACTATATATATTACAATAGAATGTTTATATATTTTGTTGGAATTTACTGGGAAAAATTTTACGACTCCAAAAAGGGACATGATTCAGGTCACGTTCAATCATCAAAGAAAATTTTCTTCTCAGAAAATCTACTCAGCCTATTCCTGCATAAAGACATAAAGAAGCGAATATGTTATTACTTGTATTCAACAAGTTAATTATATACTAGTGGAATGTGCGGCTTAGTTTCAATCATGTTTCACTTCTTTTTTATAAATATATATTAATTACCTGTGTTTCTTTAAAATAGGGGGAAAAAACGATACAAACTTCATTAAATTTCATTTGAGAATTTCTTTTTTTGTCTTTTTCAACATTTTCAATGCAAGTTTCTTTCTTTCAACATAAACTTTGTTGTAATTGAAAACACGCGGAATCTTACATTGGATGCATATTGCAACTTTTTTTTTTTTTTATTGTAATCGTAAATACATTAATTAGATCAGAGAAAAAACTTTTTGAAATTTCATTTGTGCACTAATTTGCACACTTTACGACAAACAGAAGATCGGGAGAATCTCTATTTCTGGCAATGATGTCTTTCGCGCACATTGTGTTAAAAAACTTGCCTTTAATTGGACATTCCTTAAGGAAATGAAACTTTTTAATTTGGATTGAAGGTTGATCTGATGACCAGAACTTTTTTTAATGTAACTACTGTTAGTTCATTCCTACTACAATTTTTGCGAGTATTTTTGATCAAGTTCCATTTCTAAGATGGCGTAGCAATTTTTTTTTTTTTTATCTGCAACAACGCATCATACATATCATCAATGCATTACACTTTTTTTTTTTTTTTTTTATTTCTATACATTGTCTTTTTTTTCGTGGGGATGGTTCTTTTTGTTGGATTTTCCGGTCTAAATCAAGGTTTCAGAAAAGGGGTAAACACCAAGACTAGTTAGATCTACGAAACACACTTTACCTTTGCATATAAATGATATGAATGTTCAAACACGAACCTTAATAAATAAATATTCATATGTATATATATATATCTATTTTTTTTTTTTTTTTTGTTTCAAAAAAAAAATGCAAGGTAAACTTGCTTATCGATTTAGTTCGTCATTTCTCCACACAGAATCCATTTTCGAATATTTCCGGATGATGATGATGACTATGATGATAACCTGCGTCAATGTTAATATTTGAATTATTCTATCAACTCAATTTTTTCTTCAACATACGTGTTCATTATCAACTTTGACACAATGGATAAATTTAAAATTATTTAGTTTTTGACACCAACGAGACCCTTTCGGTAAGTTTAATGCATGTGCAACTTACTAAACCTGCTTGCTTTCTTGTCAAACCTTTCAAAAAATTTGATATTTTATTTCGTGCGACGGCAAGAACCTTGTGCGACTGTTGTGGGGGAAAGAGAAAATGCAGATTACTTGCATCAACATCAACCCTCAAAATAATACAATTGCTTGGCTCTTATGCATTATGCTAAAGAAGGTATCACCATACTCTATAAGGCAATGCGAACAAAGATACAACACCTCTTTATGATCATAATAATAAATTATTTCCTTTTTCAAGTGTCTAGTATAATGTCAGTTCATGTCACCGAGCATGGGGTGATCTTTGTTCCCCGTCGTGGCTGCGGCAATTTCATCACGAATTTTTAAACAGTAAATGATGCGCATATATAGTTGAAGCAGATCTTTGTTTTTTTTCCTTTTTTTTTTTTCTTTCTGTCTTTCTTGTTTCTTGTATCTCTGTTTCTCTGTTTCTGTTTCTGTTTCTATTTTTTTTTTTTTTTTTTTTTTTTTTCTTTCCATTGCAGATGAATATGGATGCAACAAAGGTTTAGGTGTTATTGTTGTTCTTATGAAAATTACAAATATTGTGTTTGTAGGTCAACATAATAGTAAATAATAAACATATTGTGCAGTAAAACTTATTCACTTTAATTTATTGATTTGTTTGATTGTTTATGACCATTATATTCGGTTTTTTGCATGTGCACATTTGAAACCTTAAACGTTTTGCCATTATTTATAACCGATGACTTTATTTTTTTTTTTTTATGTATATATTTTTAATCCATCAAATTACCAACAATATTAATAATAATAATTAAAATAATAATAATAATAATAATAATAAAACTTTGGATGCATCACAAAACCAATCAAGAGATTAACTTATTAACAAATATTTGTTGAATTGATATTAGGTTTCATGTAAAACGGGTCTGAACAAGTCGGGTGTCTCGCCCCATTTTCCCGTTTCATATGAACTTTGTGTTCATAACCATATGAGTGGTGGGATCACGTGATCACGTCAATTCAATTATCTCCCGCAATTTTAATCATTTTTATTTTATTTTTCCTTGAAGGTGCGATCTTCTTTGGACGGGGATTTCCATTTACAAATCACACGAGCTAGACCAAAAATTCGGTGGTTTCATTTCAATGAATGAACCCCAATTTTGATTTTTCATGCCTATTGTAAAAAAAAAGGTTACCTTGATTTTCCATGATATAATTTTATGTCATCATATCGATATAATCGTTATGATAGAACTAAAACACCGCACATCACGTGTTATTTCGCGTCGATTATAACAATGACAGTATTAGATCACGTTACACACCAAAACCTTTTTTTGTTTTCTCGATGGAAGATTCTAAAATTCAAGAAGTCAGAGAAACGTTGGATAGTATGTTTATATAACCCTTCATATCAATTACCCTTTTATATGTTGAACGACTTGACAAAATAATAACTAATTTATGGTATCATCACTTTAAAGCACTCTACGAGATCTCCACCTTACTTAATACTGGTTTAGATCGGGACACCCTTTCAATATGCTTGAATTTATGTGAAAATGGTGTAAATCCCGAAGCTTTGGCTGTAAGTTTGAAGCGGTGGTGCTGTTTAAATTGTAATCTTTTTTTAAATGATATCTATTTATATAGGCAGTGATAAAGGAACTTCGAAGAGAAACCGTTTCATTAAAGGTGATTTTTTATTTATTTATTATTATTTTTTTTTTTTAATAAATTAATAGATTAATTAGAGTTTTTATTTTTCTTCCAGCCATTTGATTCAATTAACTCAACAACATCGATTGGAACGAGCAGTAATCTTAAGAAATAGATTCAAATAAGCCATGTTCAATATTCTGCCATTTTAATATTCTTTTTTTTTTTTAAAAAAAAAAAAAAAAACAAAAAAAAAAAATAGAAATGAAATTAAAGAAAAACTATATAAATAATAATGTCGTGAAAACAAATTTTTTCCCCGAACTCTATTGGATATTAATAACTACGTAGTGTTTTTTTTTTTCCTTGTGTCTCGTTCACTTCAACCTCCAACGTGATTGATTTATTTAATGATTTACAAATGTCTAAATATTCAAACGTTCGAAAGAACAACCTATTGTCCTTTAATTTAATGTTTTAAAATGTTCATAAAGCGTCCAAACTTTTCCTTTTTTTTTTGGTGAAGAGAGATTCAATCTTGGAATTTCTATGCTTTAAGCATTTCTAAGAGGTCTTTGGTATCTCCTTCTTCCATTTGTATTTTTAAATCTTTAATATTTCGACATAATCTAAGTGCTTTTACTAATCTGTAATAAGATTCTATACAGCTAGTTGATCGTGGTAGCATAACTTTCTCTAAACTATTATGGCAATTTTCGATCAATGCCGCGACATCGTCCGGACATATCCAATACCGAGGAGATTCTATATGATTGGTATAAAATCCAAGGTGTTTTAAATTTGAAAATTTTGCCAAAGTTAAAGAATTCATTTTGTCACCTATATATATGCAATGAATAAACTTCAAGTATTCCAAGTTCTCAAAGGCCGCCAAGGCTTCCATAGAGTCACAAGGCATGAAATTACAATACTCGAATTGGATCGTTGTTAAGGTTTTCGCTTGCGATTTAAGCGCGCCGAGAGTTTCGGATAATACGACCTGAAATTTTGTTTGATAATCCCATGTGTATTTAAAGGTTTTTAACCTCTTTTGAGCTCTGATCAAAACCCCCAAAGCTTTGACTTCCATGTCAGAATCAACACCTCCGATCACAAATGTTTCAATGAATTCTGATACCTGAGAGATTGCTCGAAAGATCCCACTCTTATTTCTGTGCTTGCTAACGCAGTGAAATGTCTTTAATTGAGTGAAACATGTACCGATACCGGATAAAAACGGTAGCAAGGGCATAGATATTTCATAAGGTATATCTGATAATGAAAGTAGGTCAAAATTCGTGCAATTACTCATGAAAAGTTTAAATAATTGCTCCGTGATTAAAACCTTTAGGAAAGTTGTCTGCAGTTCGTCAAGGTTACCAATAACGTTGGAGAACCATTCAGTCACTCCATTATATAGATCCGAAAACTTGAGTTCTCTCAGAAAGGATGGATAATCAAATATTAGTGAAGGTGATTCTATAATGCTGGTTGGTAATATGACCCCGTTGTTACAGAGGTATTGCTTCGATTTTCGGTTAAGACACGACAGATAAATTTGTATTATCCTCGGTTCAAACGACAGACAATTCGAAAGTCTAAAGGGACTTTTCCATATGATAGGAACCGCAACTTTACACCAGCTTCGATTGACTAAAAGACACGGATAAAGCGAATCTATTTCAAGACATTCAAAGATTTCACGTAGACATTCGGGGGGTAAGTTAGTCGCTGTGCTCTGATTGTAAAAACAATGGCGTTCCATGACAACTGACGGTAACGGTTGTGTTGACTGTGTAATTTTTAAACGAGTAAAGGTTGTTCCCATTTTCTAATCTGATGGATTTGGTGGATTTGATGAAAAAAAAAAAAAAAAATAACAATAATAATTTTAACCCGCTTTTTAAGTTATTTTCAACATAATGCAAAGATTGGACGATCAGTGCATTTTTTAATTTTAATATTGTGTGAATCGAGTCCCTTAGATGCGGATCCGCAGCAACAATTCGATTTTAATGAATGACATTGGTATAAAAATAGATGTCCAATTGTTCTCGTCTAAGCATGTGAAACACCATTTACTGCGGTTGAAACTCGTTTTTGATCCCCTTTATTAAAAAAAAAAAACTCCCCTTCTTTGTTGTCAGGGTTGTTAGGCAAAATTTAAAAAATTTATATACAATGATATTTATCATTTTGCATGTTGTTACAAGATATTGCAAATAAAATGAATAAATTACATCTCCGATCACTATTTAATTAATGTTTATTTATCCCTTTGTGTGTATATATATATTTGAAATAAGTTATTTGTCTAATTCACGTGCTCTAATAAGTTTTAATTCTTATTTGATAATTTATTGATCCTCTGCAATGCGAGATCAGCTTCATTTACACAATCTCTAAAGCCAATCTTCTTTGCAAATTCACGAGCCTTTTCGTAATATTCACTTGCCTTACTAAAATTTCCCGATAACTGAATATAATTAAAAAGTCATATTAATATATAGTATTTAAAGAAAATAATGATAAAAATAAAAATAAAAAATTGTTAAAAATCGACATACTTCTGAGATCATTCCCAAGTTAAATAGTAAAACTCCACAAGCTTCTTCACATTCCGTATTTTTCCTTTTCTGTTTAAAATTTTCAACAAGCTTTAAACCTCGTTCCGCCCAACCTTGTGCTTCTTCTAGGTTACCCATGCCGGTGAACACCTCTGATATATTGTTCATAAGAACGGCTGAATGACAAGAAGACTCGGGAGGATTGATCAATGATAAAGCACGAAGATAAAGTGGGAGAGCATAGCTAAGATATGCCATTGAGACAATTAGTTAGTATAAATGATCTTTTGAAATTCTGTGATAATGAAGTTATGCATACCGAAACAGAAAAATCTTCAGCCTTTTCATTATATATCACTTACGCGTATTTGTGTCGCGATGAATAGAAAGTTGCCAGAGCTTCAAGTGAAGCACCTAGATCAGTCGATGTCATCCAAGGTGGAAGGGTCAAGTCACGTCCCTTTGAAAATAATCCATCACGATTGATGTTATCATGATTGGATTGGACCACTTCGTGTTGTGAATGCAAAAGTTGTTCTACGGACCATACAAAGTATTTTTCTGCCTTCTCATCCTGTTTCAAATTTTGATGCAAATCGCCTAGTTTTTGCGCCAATCCAATAGATCTAAGTTTTTTCTCCCCATCCAATTTTACGGGAGTGCGATTGGGGGTAACGATAGCGTCATACGCCATTGTATAAACATCCACGGCATCACGTACTCGTCCAAGCTCTTCGTATAGGCTGCCCAATTGAATCATGATTCCAGTAACTTCCGGTGATGAATTGTCTAATTCTGCATGATTAAAGGCTTCCGTGAGTGCAGTTTGATAAAAATTAACCGCACGAGTTGGATCACTCCTATAATTTTGATAATATAAGCCTTTCTTGAGATTTTTACGAATCTCTTCGGGATATTTATTAACGTTTGAATAAAAATACTGGTACAATCCAAGGAATGCGATCGCGGACGCCGTGAATATTAATACTATAGGAAACGCCGGTAATGTTTTTCCGCTCTCATTATTATTCTGAGTGAAATAATCATGTATTCCTGAAGGTTTTTTTTGTGTCGAAGGTTGCTCTGGTTTAGTTGACTCCTCGAGCAAAGGTTTCGTACCATTGGTTTTGGGGGAGCTTTGATGAGCTTGATTAGTTTGTTCAGTAGAAAAGAAACGGTTCGTTGTGACGGTAGCCTTTATCCCCACTTGACGATGACTTGCAAAGGAATGAAATGTAATAAATTTATTCGGACGTTTAAACGTGGTTGATAAGGCATTGCGCAGGGTAAATTCTCTTGCCAAAGCCCTTGGGATCTGTGAGGCCGCGAATGCCATTGAAGGTGGTTGAAGAAAAAATTCTGGTTGCTGTTTTAAACAAAAGAGATCATATGAGGAATAAACTCATCCAATCGGAAAATTTATGTTGGTTACTTGATGAACATCGTTCCGATAAAAACCATCATCATCTTAGATCATTGGAACTCTCATTTATAAATAAATTTTCTAAAAGGCAGAAAAAAAAAAATAAAATAAAATAAAGTAAAGTAAAATGGCAGATCGGAGGCGGATACAAGGACCAGAGGTTACCGTTACGCCAATAATTATTAAGTCTTCTGATAAAGAAAAAATACTACTCAAGGACGTAAATGGCCGACGTCGCGATGGAAGAAACCTGGAAGATATTCGGCCGATTTGTATGAATAATTTTCGTTACAAACTCGTTTAATAATTTATCCCTTTATTGATTATTAATTTTCTTTTTTTTTTTCAGTCCTAAAAACTGGTCTCATAAGTCAGGCTAATGGTTCAGCGTATATAGAGCTGCGACAAACCAAGATTGCCTGTGGAGTGTGGGTCCCATCATTAATTAAATTAACAACGTTGCGAAACTTCTTCCTTTTCATTAATTAATTCTTATTCAAATGTTAGCTATGGACCGCGCCAAACGAAAGTTGCGTCGTTCAGTGGGAAAGGGAATTTAAATTGTGAAATTAAATTTGCTCCATTCTCGTGTTTGAAGCGTAGGCAATCTTACCGGGTAAGTTTCATTTTTTTTTTCTCTAATTTTCGAACCTATTTCAATGATGATAAATAATATAATGTAATTAAATGAATCTATAACTTGTAGGATGCACAGGAAAAGGAATTGTCACATCTCGTGTTTGAAGCATTGGCGCCTTCTATCCGACTTGATCTATTGCCCAAATCGACCATTGATGTATTTATCAGCGTGCTAGAAAATGATGGAACGGCATCATGTTTAGCCGCGGCAATCACATGTGCTTCCGTGGCCGTAGCTGACGCGGGCATAGAAATGTCGGATCAGGTTGCAGCTTGTTCTGCGGTAAGGATTTAGAGAATTCGCTTATTTTTTTGGGATATGAACATTAATTGGGAACAAACAAATTTTTTAACTTGATTTCATTTTCCAAAGTCGTATATTGATGGTGATATTTACATGGATAGTGATCTTTTAGAGGAACAGCGCGAGACAGGATCAATAGTTCTATCTTATATGCCATCATTAAATGAAGTAACGCACATTTTACAATCTGGTGAGGTTGAAATTTCTCAAACTACTCAGGTTCGGATTACACTTCAATTATAAAATTATTTACAACATTTTTTCTTACATCGAAAGTGAAGGTTGCTAACTTAATATAAAATCTTAGGCTATCGAACAATGTACTGATGCGTGTTCTAAGATATATTCTGTCATGAACCACAGTCTATTGGAATCCGTAAAGGACAAGATGCAATAATATTATATATATTTGATCATCCACCATTCCTCGTGATCTTCACACATTATTCTTGGCAGTTAAAGCAACGGCCGTTTTCGATCCATTTTGTCTACCCAAATGTTGCGAAATATAATTACCAGTGCGTACTAGATTTTCAAGATTCACACCCGTATGAAAACCCATTCCTTGTAACATATATACCACGTCTTCTGTTGCCACGTTTCCGGTTGCTCCTTTAGCAAAGGGACATCCTCCTAAATCATGATGATGTATGCTAATTTAGTATATAAACCAAAATAAAAAGGGACCATATGAATTTAGAATGAATACCTAAACCTGCAACCGAGCTATCAAAGACTCTTACTCCATGCTATTTAGTCATTTCCAAGTTAGAACAAAATTAAATAGATAAGTCAAGGGGGAAGTAATTTGCTCCTTTGCCAACGAACCTCCGAGGCGCAATATATGTTTGCGAGAGCCTGACCATAAGTATCATGGCAATGTAATGCTAAACGTTCAACCGGAATCACTTTGCGTACTGCGGATAACATGTTGGTTAATGAACCTTGATGTTGATGACGATTATGATGATAGAAATTAGTTCAACGTCGTTGCTTGTTTGGTACTTCTCCATATATAATAACAATAAATCTCACCAGGTGTACCAACACCGATTGTATCCCCTAGGGATATTTCGTAACATCCCATCTTGTACAACCGTTCAGCAATCTTTGCAACCGCTTCAGGTGGGACTTCACCTTCATAAGGGCACCCGAGAACGCAAGAAATATACCTTTTGCACCATCAACAGAATTAATAAATTAATACAAAAGAATACAAAAGAAACAAAGGATCGACAGAGATTATAATAAATTAATAAATAAATATAAATACCCTCTAACAGCGATTCCTGCTAATCTGGCACGTTCAATTACCTGATGAAATCGTGAAAAGCTCTCCTCTATTGAACAATTGATATTCTTTTGACTAAATGTCTCGGAGGCTGTACCAAAAATAGCCACTTCTCCTGCGTTTACAGAAATAGCTTTTTCCAAGCCTTTAAGATTGGGGGTCAGAACTGGATAATTAACCCCCGGTTCACGTGTTATTTTTTTCATAACTTCTTCACAATCTGCCATCTATTTTTCAATTTAATCGGAATCAGAAATGTAAATAGTTATCAACAAAACGTGGCGAAAATAAGAAATTTTACCATACCTGAGGAACTAGTTTCGGCGACACAAAAGAAGTTGCCTCGATCACCTTCAAACCCGTCCTTGATAATTTATTTATAAAATTTATCTTAATCTCTGTTGATATAGGCTGCTTTTCATTTTGTAGACCATCACGAGGACCAACTTCTACGATCTTAACTTTTTTTGGCCCTATATAGGATCCTAAGTTCTGAGATAAAGGTTTTTCCTAAATACATAAATAAGACCTCGTTACAACAGGAAAGGCAAACATAAAGCATTTACTTGATCACGTAACGCGGAGAACCGACGTATTTTAATAAACGAAAGCTTACTCAAGCTGGAACGAAAATTAGCCATGTGGACGAATTCCTCGTATAATTTGTTTGCGCTCTTTACTTGATCGATAAGATGACATCACATCTAATCGATGTGCTGCGGGAATCGCGAAAAAAGAAGTTTACAGTGAAGGGCAATTTAACAAACAAGAGTCTAACCTGATTTGGTTATGAAATTTTCGGACTTCGCTTTTAGATTTTTCGTGCTGAAGATCAGTTTGAATACTTAAAAAACTTAGTTTTCGCGTCAACATCATTATTCGCCTCACATGCCGCCCGAATTTCGATGACAAATCGCGCTACTAATCTTAAAGGTTGTAGTTGATAATTATTCAGATCCTTACTCGTTCATAATTAAACTAGGACAACTATTTTTTTTCGTTGGTTTTTTGTTTATTTGTCGATAAATATTTAGATTTAAGACTACACCAAGGCATGAGACTTGAAACTCGAGATTTTACTGGCGAGAGTGGTGGTAATTCAGATAGGGCCATTCCGACCACGAGTACTGGTACTGACCATGAATGTAGCGTTGAAGATCATGAGCTCGGTTTCATTATAGGGGAAATTAACGAGGATGAAAGTATCGATGCAACCAAAGATACTAAACCCTTATTAGGAAATATGAGCAAGATGGCTGTGAATGTAGTAAATACACTGGGTAGGGATGTTTTAAATTGTGACCAGCTAAATAAACAAGCTTCCCACTTGTACTTTCACGCACGCTATATTTATGATGTGTTCTATAAATCTTTAGTAATATCTTTATTTTAATTTTAGAAAATCAGAGTTATTTACCATCTACCCAAAATGTTTATCTGGAGGAAGAAGATCTCAATGTATGTTGACATTTCAATATATAATTTATTAAGAATCGATCTTATTTTGAATAATCTTTTCATCCTGACGTGACTCATTCATATCCAGATCATTTTAATGGGTTACCGCCTTCATCGCTTCCGCACATATATATATTATATTCTTTGTTTTTTGACCGGAGGATCATTATTTCTTCTTGCTCGATGGATACCAAAAATATGGATTTGGTGGGTCGGCAATGCTTGCCCAATGGGAAAGGCCGAATTTGTTACCATAAAGGTTGGTTTTTTTCTGACGAACTTTAAAAAATCTACAATTTTTTTCTTGAAGTATAAATACATTGCTTTGCATAAATTCAGAATCAATGGGGTGAGATTGCGATTGAATACGTAAGTCGAAAATATTACGGTGGAACCATTTCGTCTGTATTTTCGGTTGATCAGCTTGACGAAGAAGATATGGCAAGAAATAATTCGAATCCCGATGAATTATTACATAATTTACGCTATTTTGATCATCGTTATATACGATTCATTTATCATCCCGGAATAGGAAAATTTTTACAAAATAGGTACTGTATAATTTTTAATGAATATGCAATTAATTCGGTAAACGATAAGAAAGAGCCATGTGCTAATAAATTTTAAAGCTATTGGAAAGATTCAAGCTGGACATCTACCAAGGTCTTAAAAAAGGGGATCACTCGTGCCGTTCATGATGAACGTGAAGTTATTTTTGGGCCGAATATAATTGATGTTCAGGAGAAATCGGCTTTACGGTTATTAACTGATGAGGTGAGATTTTTGTGTTTTTAAATTTGGAAACGATTAGTCTATTTGATAGAAATTCATGTTGAGTTCCTAAATCATTTTAGGTCTTACATCCGTTTTACATTTTCCAAGTTTTTTCAATGATACTTTGGTTTCTCGACGAGTATTATTACTATGCTGCATGTATTCTGATAATTTCTGCCACAAGTGTTATTACTACTCTTATTGAAACAAAACAGGTAAGGCGGAAATGGAGATTTTTTATTTTTGTAATCACGTGATAATATTCATTTATAATATGTTTTTAAAGACCATGCATCGATTACGTGAAATGTCTAAATTTGTCTGTGACGTGAGGATCTTTCGCAACGGGTTATGTAAGTATTTGATAAAACTGTATAGAATGAATATATATATATTTCCTTTTATGTTTGTTTCATTTAGCATCTTTTAACAAATTTTTTTATATAGGGAGATATTCTTCTTCAGAAAATTTAGTACCTGGAGACGTATTCGAAATTTCTGATCCAAGTCTATATGTTTATCCTTGCGACGCCGTTTTATTGACAGGAGATTGTATAGTCAATGAAAGCATGCTTACCGGTAAGGTCAATAATGGTTTACTGTGTAATTTGCAACATATATTTATTTGATAGGTTTCTTTAGGAGAGTCGGTTCCGGTTTCAAAATTGCCCATCACAGATATATCGTTACGTATGATGGATTTGACAGCGGTCAATGTTCGGCCAGAAATTGCCAAACATTTTCTTTTTTGTGGAACAAAGATTGTGAGGGTTAGGAAATCCAAGAGCAATATTGATGGAATTGAAGATGAAGGATCAGCATTGGCAATGGTTGTCAGGACAGGTGAGGTATAATAAAATTATAATCATATGATTTATTTGTATTTAAGTTAATCTTCCAACTTTTTAGGATTTAATACGACTAAGGGTTCCCTCATTCGATCGATGTTATTTCCAAAACCAAATAAGTTTAAATTCTATCGAGATGCTTTTCGATTTATTGGGATTTTATCTTTAATAGGTATGTATATATTTATTTCTAGAAAGATAATTTAAGCTGAGTTTATTAAATGTGTTTTTTTTTCCATTTCCCTTTTATATCATACTTTATAGCCGGAATTGGGTTTTTTATAAGTACTATTAATTTTATCCGAATGGGAGTAAATATTCATCTCATAATCGTACGCGCTCTAGATTTGATTACTATAGTGGTTCCTCCTGCTCTTCCCACAACGATGTCTATTGGTACAAGCTTTTCTTTAGCTAGGTTAAGAAAAGCACAAATATTTTGCATCAGCCCCGCAAGGTATTTACTAATTATATGAATTTCGATTCAAAGAAAGTTTTTAAGATTAACATATATTTAAAGGGTTAACATCGGAGGAAAGCTCAATGTTATGTGTTTTGATAAGACTGGCACGCTTACCGAGGATTGTTTAGATGTACTTGGGATACGTTGTACGGATCGAACAAAAAACAAGTTCGTACTTTACCTAAATTCTCAACGTTAACAACATTAAGAATTTTTTTTTAATTGATATATGACATTTCTTTTCAGATTCTCTGACCTTCATACATATATCGAAACCCTATCCAATTTAAATCCAAATGATATGTCCGTAGACATTGATCCCTCGACGAAATCAGATTTCTCACCAATTTTATATGCTATGGCGACTTGTCATTCTCTTAAGCTTGTTGATGGTAAACTAATTGGTGATCCTCTTGATCTGAAGATGTTTGAATTTACAAAATGGTTATTAGAAGAAAGCGTGCAAAATCCTTCACGTCCCCCAAGTGTTACCGGAATTTCAAACGACTCAACTTCCTCATTCCGCCATGCGACACCTAATTCAATGGTAGGGTCCGGTAGTATTGTTCCAACAGTCGTTAGGCCGCCAGGTAGTCGAAAATTCGATTTGTCTGACCTTTTGGATAATGATGGAGAAGGGAAGGTAACGTGACCGTGAATATATTTTCATAAATGAATATTTGGTTCTTAAATATCTTTTCTTCTTATCTTAGACCACCCCATTTTTGGAGCTTGGTATTATTAGGACGTTTGAATTCGTTTCTTCATTACGACGTATGAGCGTTTTGGTTAAACGATTACGAAGCCCAACAATAGAGGTTTATGTTAAAGGAGCACCAGAGGTTATGCGTGAAATTTGTAAACCGGATTCCTGTAAATTTCCATCATTTCCTTTACTATATGCAGATTGTTCAAAATATATATATATGGTTTTTTTTTTGATATTTTCTTTTTTTTTTAAAAAAAAAAAAGTTCCAGATGATTACGATGAATTGTTACATTATTATACTCACCATGGATTTCGGGTTATTGCATGTGCTTCTAGAAGTTTTGACAAATTAAATTGGATGAAGGCTCAGAAAATCAAGAGGTTTCATCCCAATTTCATCTTTCCTATTGTTATTAGACAGACCAAATTATTAATTGTTTGTTTTATAATTTTAAAGAGAACAAGTCGAGCAAGATTTACAATTCTTAGGAATTATAATATTTGAAAATAAATTAAAGTCCGGCACACCACCTGTCATTGAGAAACTTCAACGCGCAAAAATTCGGCAAATTATGTGTACAGGTAATAAATAAGATTGCGATGGTCGATCTTTCATGAAACATTTTAACACGGGAGAGTTTTTTTTAATGTATAAGGTGATAACGTCCTCACTGCTATAAGCGTATCTCGTGAATGTGGGTTAATCAATAAAAATACCAAAGCGTATGTACCAAGATTTATCCAAGGAACTTCAATTACTCCTAGATCCGAAATTGTATGGGAAAGCTTGGATGATCCGAAAGATGTATTAGATTCGAAGACTTTAAAGGTTTTTTTTTTTTTTTAAAAAAAAAAATTGATCTTATTTATCTGTCAATGATCTCCTTATTTGTTTCTAACCAACCAAATAATTCGATAATGATTTAAGCCATTAATACAACCAACATCAAACTATTCCAACGAATGTCCAATGATCAACTCTCTTGATTATGATCTTGCTGTTACAGGTGATATATTCCGATGGATGATAGATTTTGCTGATCAAGTTACATTATTCAGAGTAAATAAATTAAATCTTTTCGTATTCGTTTGATCTACGTGTCATATTTTACTAATTTATTTATTTTATTTCTTTAGATGTTTGTTAAAGGGCAAATATTTGCTCGTATGTCACCTGACGAGAAACATGAACTTGTAGAAAAGTTACAACTTATGGGGTATTGCGTTGGATTCTGTGGAGACGGTGCCAACGATTGTGGTGCTTTAAAAGCGGCTGATGTCGGCCTATCTTTATCTGAAGCTGAAGCTTCTGTAGCAGCTCCCTTTACAAGCCACACAATGGACATTGGTTGTGTTATAGAAGTTATCAAGTGAGTAATGATACGGTTA